TTTATTTTTTAAGAAATTCCAAAGTTTCAAGTTACACTGCCGGCGCTTGCGGCCGGAATGCGGCCAGGGCACGTCACAATGGTGATGCCAGCGCGCCAGCTCGCTTCACCCGCCCCATCCATTATATTAGCTCCGAGAAGCCACATCTTGCGGCCTGTGCTGAGTATGGGTGAGCGCATCACAAAAGTGACGCCAGCGCGCCAGCTTTACCTGCCCCCCGTCTATTTTAGAAGCTCCGACAGGCCACATCTTGCGGCCTGTGCGGAGTGTAGATGAGCCAGTTGAACTGTATTGCGCTGCGGCCATCACTGTCGCGCAGCGCTCCCCCACTGTTTTTGGATGATCAGGTATCGTTACTGTTATTTTATTTTATGTGCGGCCCAAACCAAATTTTCATCTTCTAATGTGGCCCAGGGAAGGTGAAAGGTTGGACACCCTTGATCTAAGAGAAACCAAGTGGTGCATCTTTTCTGCTGTGGCCCCCACTCCGTGGCCCATTATTCCCATTAGCCTTCCAGATGGCCCTTAAAACTTTTTTTTTTTTTTACCAGCATTGGGATCCCAGGAACAACTTACAAGGTAATTGTATGAGATTAAGTGATATTTATTCTCCTACTTTCTTAGGTTCTATTTTATATGTTTACATTATGTGCTTGATTTATTTGTTTTAGATTGTCAGGGAGTTTTTAACTGTTGCTGTGTTACATGCTGCCCAGAGCTATTTGAGATGGGTGGCTATATGAATATATTAAACAAATAAATTCCCATGAAGAAAAACAACCAAGAGCAGAAAGCATTTTTAGGGTTTATTTAAATAAAAATTATAATTTATACCAAGATACCCTATTCCCCTCCCCCCCCCACTTTTTTTTTTAACGAAGAAAGTTCTCTTAAAAAATGTACAGGGTAAATTGTTTCAGTTCAGTTTTTCATACAGTACAACTCTGTCTGAACAAGTTACACTGCTAATGTATTATTTACAACTTCAAAATATAGACATAAAAAGTATTTCACATCCATTCTTTTTAATGATTAGTAGCAGAAAAAAAAATATCTGCCCAAATGTACATAATTAGTTATAAACTACCAGATTTTCTTTTGCAGGTCAAACACTCCCATACTTCTACAATATCCCCCCTCAGTTTATACAGCATATCCACTGACTTTGCAAGAGTTTTGCATTATGGTGCTACATGATTTGCCTAGAGTCAAATCCTGCAAAATTAATATGTTAATGTAATAAAATTTCTGATTCTAGCAGTTTAGGGAGGGAACATAAGTTGTGATCTGTTTTCATATCCTTTTATGATGACAAAAGGTCTCCAACATGACCACTATGTTTCTAGGAAAAGATCTTATTTAACTAAATTTTAAAAAATCATCATGAGCCACAGGAGATATTACTATATATGTATCAGAACAACAAATTTATAAAATGATTTTTTTTAAATGCTACTGTAAGGTAATACTTTGTATTAGTAGCACTAATGGAGCTACATTCAGTAAGTAGGTAATGAAAATCCCATAGAAAGAGATGAATTTAAATCAAACCTAAGAGTGATTGCCTGAGTACAGAATAGATTGACAAATATTCAGCATTTCAGGATATAAGGACGAAAAAAAAGAACTGAGATGGTCCAGCACACCCAAAATTATTTTTAGGGCATGAGATCAATTATCCCATATCACAAAGAACAGAAGTTAATTATGCATTAGTCCTTTCAGTACAAAAATGTAGATGGCTATAGCAAGGAAGGGGAAAAAAATAGTTCCCATTTTAATGCATATTCACCTAATTTTCCAAATGCTTGTCTAAATTAGACTGCACTGCAATGGCGAAATGTACATTTCACATCTCCTACAACCTTTTTGTGTATGGGTGGAAATGTGTATGTATTTTTTACAAATGAATGTCATCAAACGTCTACAAAATTATATATTTCATCGTTGAAGTGGTGAATTGGGTACAGGAGAGATCAGGAAAATATGCACACAAATTGAGACATTTTTTTAATTTTGGCAGGAGAATTTATATCCTCGTGCAGAAATAGGCTGGGATAAAATTAAGGATTGGACACTGAGCTAAATGTTGCATGATAAGATTCACTTAATTCCTAAATGCCTGTTTTTTCATGTACACGATACAGACATTAATGGTCTTCACATTCTAATTTGAATACATGTTCTATTCCAGTCTCTTTTCTTTAAGGGATGTACTTTTTAAAAGTACAGCTTATTCTGAACATTTTAGTAAGATCACAGAATAACAGGGGAAAATTGAAAGCTATTTATGGATACTGTTTCATTCTGAAAATATAAAAATCAAAGATTACCATTGTGGCATGACCATACCTCACAAATAGTTTTGAAGCAACCACCTTCTAAAATAATAGTTTTCAACTTCATCAGCTTTAAGATGTGTAGACCTCAACTTCCAGAACTGGGAGATTCTGGGAGCAAAAATCTAGACATCTTGAAGTTGCCATCTTGAATCTAGACATCTTGAAGTTGGAGTACACTGTTCTAGAACAAGTCTTTGAGTGACTACAAAAAACAAACAAACGTGGTTATCTGATTTTCATCAGAAGCAGTAATTTTAGAAACACACTGAAGATTAAAAAGTATACCTGAAAATGATATAGAAGGGAGAAAAAAGAAAGAAAAATAGCTTGCTTGGTAAACAATATAATCTATTATTTTCCCCAGAGAAAATCTCACAGAACATAGAATAACAGGAAGGGATTTCAGAGGTCTTCTGATCTAACCTCCTCCTCCATCAAGAGACCCTGTATCATTCCTGACTAATGGCTGCCCCGTCTCTTATTGAAAGCCTTCAGTGACACCCACCCTTCTCCACTGCCAGGAAAATTATCCTTAATTCTAGATTGGATCTCTCTTTAATGATTCTCTACCTATTACTTCTTGTCCTGCCCTCAGTAATATATAGGTGGTCCTCAAATTACAACAGTTCATTTAGTGACCATTTGAAGTTACAATAGCAAAAAAAAAAGTGACTTATGACTGTTTTTTTTCCACACATCCACCCATTGCAGCATCTTCATGGTCACGTGACCAAAATGCAGATGGTTCATGTTTATAACATTTGCAGTGTCCCAGGGTTATGCCTTTTGTGACCTTCTTGACAAGCGAAGTAGATGGGGAAGCCAGATTCACTGAACCACCATCTTACTAATTTAACAACTGCAGTGTACCACTTAACAACTGTGGCAGGAAAGGTTGTACAATGGAGTACTACCTGTAGTAGTGCAGTATAAAGGGCACAATCACTTCACATGAACTTGATACCATCCCTTTGTTGATGCAATCTAGAACTGTGTTGGCTGTTTTGGCAGCTGCAGCACACTCCTGGGTCATACTTAAGTGATTGTCAACTCGGACTCTCACAGACACTGCTGTCGAGCTAGGTATCACCTATTCTACACCTTTGCATTTGGTTTTGGGTTTCTTTTGCCTATGTATAAAGACCTTACTTTTCTCACTACTGAATTTAATTCTGTTTAATGGGGGGCCAAGATCCTTCTGGATCTTGAGCCTATCTTCTAAAGTGTTGACTATTCCTCCCAGCTTGGTATCATCTCCAAATATGATGTGCACCCCTTCTTTCCCCTCTTCTAGCTCATTTATGAAGATGTTAAAGAGCACTGGCCCAAGAGGTATCCCATTCTCCATGTAGATGTCGTTCCATTGAGGATTGCATGTTGAGTGTGGTTGGTCAGCCAGTTACAAAACCATCTGTGATGCTGTCTATCCCACATTTTTCTCTTACCAAGAAATAGGCTATAGTCTATTTTATCAAATGCCTTACTGAAGATGAAGTAAACTATGTCCACAGCATTTCCCTGATCCACTAATTTAGTCTTTTTTGTCAAAGAAGCCAAAGAAGAAGGTGTGTCTAGTATGATCTATTTTAACAAACCCATGTTGGGTTTAATAAAGTTTAATTAATAAGATTAAATATATAAACATGACTTTTATCCAAGGGACTTTTAAAAAGAACGGGAAAAACGCCAATTCTGTGTAATACAATTCTGATTTAGGTTAGTAAAAATGTTAATCTGACACAATGTTTATATCCCCATCTTTACATTTACTTGCTGGGATTATGCCTGGCAAAACCCTTATTTGTTCAAAGTTTTATGAAGCCTTTATATATATCACAAAATGTTAATACAGAAATGCATTACTAAAAAAGGTGACATTTTACCATCACTAACTTTTTTTCCACATTACAGTGCTGGTTCTCAAAACTGTGGGTCACAAGCCCCAGGCCCTCATCACCAACTTTGAGGGGTGCTACAAACGTTTTGAGTATTCAAATCAAGATCACATTAAGATGTTGCTCGCACTCTGCCTGATCACACCAACAGCAACGTTAGGATTTATTTATTTTTTAACCAGTTGCTGCTATAAAAGGCAATGTTAATTCAAAATAAACATGGAACAAAATACAGTATGAGAGCAGCTATCTCAAAAATGAAATCCAGATTTCAAGGGTCATAAAGAAGAAAACAAGTGCATTCTTACCATTAAAATTATGGTTTGATAGCTTTACCATTTATTTCCAGTGAAAAGGTTTTATGTTATAAAGTTGCAATATTTTCTCATGTTTTAATTCTATATGAATTGCAATTTCTATGTGAATTGCATCTTAATTATTAAAAAATCAGTGGTATATTTTGCCTTATCCCAAGTCCACTGAAATCATGAGTTTAATTCATCATGGAAAATCACATATATTAAATTCATTTTAACATTTTAGGGGCTTGCATTACCACTGAGTTGAAAATCTCTGTATTACCTTATAGAAAATATAAGAGCATATGAACCTTTCAGATCCTGATTCTAGACCAATAATTAACGTGTGTTTTAATCCTTTTAAGAAGTTTTTTTAACAATTTTTTTCCCCACACATAAATCAGTTTGTTAAAGTTTTCTAGCATTTATTACCCACAATTTTAGTCATGCTTCCTTCATTTCTATTTTTTTTTTTTTGCAAAATTCCATCTTCTTATGACATCTGAAGTTATAATAATTAAGCTTAACAGCAGTGACATGTTACATGCAAATGCATGTAACAAAGTCAACAACATAATGTAAAACAAGGGATTGGCTTGGGATAGACTAGTTCATAGCACAGAAGGATTCTCTCTTTTCTTATTTGACAGTTCCAATCGTATTTGTAAACAATTGACTCTACGTATATAATAAAAAGTAACTGAGGGGATCATTTGGAGTACAAAATAGATTCCAGGATCTACTGCTTCTCTGTTAGGAACCATCCACTCTTCAAAAACTGGCTTTGAAATAAAAGAAACCAAAATTAATGTATCACGGCCACCTTTATAAAATATTAAATTAACATGTGGAGTTTTAACCATCTACTCAATTTCTTTTTCATGATTAAAGACTACCACACACAAAGTTAATTACTACAAAAAGTGTGGCTACAGCTCTCAAGAAACTAAAATACCAAAGGAAAAGAATCATGGACACATACAAGGGTAACAGCAAGATCCAGGGGTTTCATCAAAATTATGTTAATCCAATGTTGTAGCACTCCTTTTTTATAAGTATATGACATTTCAAAGTACTACAAAGGGTGCAGAGCTTGTGGTACATTGATACAACACTATTCCCATTATTCCTCCTGCACTCCAATGGGCACATTTGTGATAACTTTCAACTTCATGTTTATCCAATATTTTAAGGAAAATACAGGATAATGCAGCATGCCAAATAATTCTAAAAAGTTGCTTCGCTATTGAAAACACTGGAAACGTTTGTTATGTCAACACAGGGACATAAGATTAACGACAAAGAAAGATGTGTAAGGTAGGCCGAGAAGAAATGTGCACACTGACTATCTGAAGATTTAATTGCATCTCCCAACTGTCTCTAAACCTATAAATGCCTTTTGAAAAGATACAGAAGTCAGTATGAACGTTTTCCGGAAGCACAGCTTCAAATACTCATACTTTCAACTATTATTTACACCTCGTTTAGGAAAACGAATCATGTTCTTGACAGTTTTTGCTAAATTCAATCACAAACTTGCACCATAATGCCACTGAAATCAATGGAATTTGTGCAGTGGGTGTGTGCAGAACCCGTAGCTAAAGAAATATCAGATGAACCGCAGAGTTCAGGGTATGTCTAATTAGGACAAGGCCTACCCCTCAAGCTAGTTTTACTAAGAATCTTCCTAAGCGTTTTAATGTCAGTGAACAAACATTAAAAGTGCTTAATGTGCAAGGTTAACAGTGCCGATAGCATTTTCACTGTTCTTTTATTTTATTACAAAAAAAAAACCAGTAAATAAAAACCAACAGAAACCATGGAAGGCATGTAATAAAATACACTTTCTGTAATGTAAGACATATATATGCAACAAAGAAAACTATTGCAGGACTGATGATGAAGGATGTTCCACCTTTTTTATTCACTACTGGGTGAGTAAAATTCATGATGTTTCCTATAAAAACCCGGCAAGGATGATATACTAGCTTTCACTGGCAGATGCTGCAGAGGTTATCTTCACATACTGGCAGAAAATAGTCTCAAAAGCTTCGTCTCTGTGTACCATGGCACCAAACACGAGCGGCTTTCAGGTGGGAAAGAAAAAAAAAACCAAAGAAGTTCAATAAAAGAATGACTAAAATGTGAGCATTCCAATACACTAGTAAGAATTAATAGCAGAATCCTATACAGTACCCAAAAGGACGTTCATCTCAATTTTTGACTTGTTTAAAATAGACCTACTGGGTATACACAGAACTCCTCAATTTAGGGCCAAGATATTCCAGATAACTTTAAATCCTTCCCTTACCCCCAAACTGCTATGCTGTTAGGGGCTAGTCTGATGATTTCTGAAAGCAACTGTTCTTGAAACAGAAGCGTTGTGATCTAGGGCAGTGTTATGATTAGCCAGCAGCAGGTGCAGATGGCTGAGGAGAGCGAGGACTCTGATGAGGGGCCAGGACCATCGGGGAATGGACTGCTGCCTTCAGGGATTGTGGGGGCTGGCAGCAGTGACGAGGAGGTTCCCGAGGAGCCTGTGCCAAGTGCGCGTGAGCACAGGATGATTGATAGAAGAGAACAGCTGGAGCAACACAGGCGACTCAGGAGTAAGGATGCAATGTAATGGCCCCTCCCTCCATGGAATATAAGCCTTGTTTCAAAAGGTTTTTGCTTTTGCAAAAGGCAAAAACGCTCTAAGGACCCAGCATTGTATGTCCACCTGGCTTATCTGAAGAATTCTGTCAAGGCTTTTCTGGTTGGACTAATTGGCTGCAAGCCAATTTTATCTACAAAGAAGTTATTTGTAGATTAAAGCTGAGAAGGTTTGAGTTGCTGCGTTTGTTTGAGATTTTCTTGCTGGTAACAGGGTAGGGTCAGCACAGGCAGGGATGTCAAAGTCAAGCCCGCAGCCTGGAAACAGCCCGTGGGGTGCTTAGGTAGAAGACAGATAGATAGATAGAATTCTTTATTGGCCAAGTGTGATTGGACACACAAGGAATTTGTCTTGGTGCAAATGCTTTCAGTGTACATAAAAGAAAAGATACATTCGTCAAGAGTCAAGAATCATCAGGTACAACACTTAATAATAGTCATAGGGTACAATAAGCAATCAAAGCATATTAGGAAACAGTCCATATAAATCGTAAGGATACAAGCAACAAGGTTACAGTCATACAGTTACAAGTGGGAGGGGATGGGTGATAAGGAGTGATGAGAAGATTAACAGTAATAGTAGTGCAGACTTTTTAGATAGTTGAACAGTGTTGAGGGAATGATTTGTTTAGCAGAGTGATGGCTTTCGGGGGAAAACGGTTCTTGTGTCTAGTTGTTCTGGTGTGTAGGGCTCTATAGTGTTGTTTTGAGAGAAGGAGTTGAAGCAGTTTATGTCCGGGATGTGAGGGGTCTGTAAATATTTTTACAGCCCTCTTTTTGACTCGTGCAGTGTACAGGTCCTCAATACTACAGGTTGTAGTAATTGTTTTTTCTTATATCTGACCCGGGGTCCTGCTCTGGAAACAGCGAAGAACTGGCCTGCGTGCAGCCCCCCTCCCCCGAGCTCTGTTTTCGCTGGCAGAGAGTTGCAGGATGCTGTCACAGCCGAAAACGGAGCTCGGGAGTCTGTTTTCTGTGGCAGAGCTAGTCTCGGGCCCCCACAGGCTCCCCCGAAATGAGTGATGTTGATCTAGCCATGTGCCCCCTGGCCACCCCCCCCCCCATGAGGTCAAACACAACTCTGTTGTGGCCCTCAATGAAATTGAGTTTGACACCCCTGATTTAGGGTCAAAAAATGCTCTACTTTGGAGCATTTCCTTCAAGAAACTACTGAACTGATTTTGGAGGAGCATAGTTTGGAAAAGGAACAAGGCAGTCCAAAGTTCTTCTCAATATTATGTCCCTGAATTGGAAAATTTTAGATATACATGCCTTGTCTACTTTGCTCTTCAGCTAAGAAATCTCCTAGCAGGGCTGGTGGACCAGTAACAAGCCAGCCTTCCCATCATTCCAACTTAAAACTATAAGAGTTGGTTTCCGGGTTGAGCCCTCCTCGCTGACAGACCATATCGTGACTGTCCGCGGCTATGGTCCGTGCTCTTTCGTCGGAGAGCCCCGATCATTGTGATTAGGGGCTGAAGCTGCATTGGAGGGACGGTGGAGTAAGGGGAAGCCACAAGCCAGGTTGAGGGGAGCCGCATCTCCCCTCCTGGGCTTGGTCTTTTCCCCCCCGAAGACAACTGCAGGGGGGAAGAAAGAGGTGGATAACATCTGAACCGGGACAACTGGGCGAAACAACTAAACAAAAAGTACTCCGGGATTAAGGTAACATTGAACTTTTAAGAAAAGAAAAGTGAGCGGCAAAAATACAAAGGGACAGGAAAAACAATAAGCAAACAATTTTGACAGCTAAGCGGGGCTTCGAACCAGGAAAGGAAGAAGCCAGAACTAAGGACTTAATTAAATTGGACTAAAATATTTTGGCAATAAACAGGCATAAAATAAAGCTGGACTTAAGACGGTCAAAAAATAATACAAATTGGAGACTGGATTGTGCTGGAATATTGAGGAATATTGAGGTTCGAAAAACCCTAAATAAAAAAAACAGGGGGGAAAGGTGAAGACTTTGTATAACAGAGAGTGCCAGATTCTGACAAAAACTTGAACTCAAACAAAAGGAAAAGCATCTTGTTTCTGTATGAACTTGTGTTGATATAATGTTAAAGAAATATTGAAACAAAGTAAGAATCTTAGAAAGTGAAAGCTGAACCAGAATAAAGAAAGAAGCAAGGAAAGACTGACTGTGGGATTGATTGATGTTTTTGGTATAGACCCAGGGCTGGAACAATTGACAACTTTAGAAAACTGGAAGAAGAAAGAAGGAAAGTAAAAGTGTTTTTTGTGGGCTTCAACTATTATAAAATATAAGAGTGTGTAATGATGATATCTCTTCGGGAATTAAAAATGGAACTTAAAAATATGAGAGAATTACTACAGGAAAGAGGCGAATCACTTTGCTCTGTGTTAGAAGGAATGGAAATGGCGATTGAAGAACAAGAAGAAAGAGCTTCAGATGAGGAGGAGTCGACTCAAGAAGACATTTTAAATAGACAATTAACACAAAGAACACTACAAAGACGAGGGGAAAGAAGAAAGGCTAAAAAGTTGAGATTTAAGAAGATAATAAAAAGGGGGAATACCTGTGAAATCAGGAGAGGTAGAAAGATCCAGCAGAAAAGGGGGAAGGAAGATATCAAGAAAGAGAGGGGTATAAACCGGAATGAGAAAAGATATGGGGAAAAGAGGGGGAGGAGAAGCAGTAAGAAACAGGTGCATGAAATAAAGAAATACGGAAATAGTAAAATGATGAAAAGAAATTTGCTTTTTCAGAGATAATGGTTGATGAATTAAAGAGGGGATTCTGCAGGGTGACAAGGGGTAACAAGAATATATTTGCAAATAAAAAAATATACTTAGAAAATAGGATAATATAGATTATTAAAGGAGGGATAGATACTGATAACTCTTATTAGATGAAATACATTTTTATTTTTATTTTTAAAAGAAAAATTAAGGTTTATTGAAGGAATTGTAATAATTGAAATGAATGTGAAGATGTTTAAAAATGAGGTCAAATATCAGTGACCAGAAATTGAATAGTCAATTTTTTCCCTTTTACTTTTTTGAAATTAGAAATAAAATTAAGGGGGGGAAATATGTTGCGGAATCCAAATGAAAAGATGTAATGATTATTATTGTAACTACTTAAAAATAATGGTTTATTGGGAATTAAGATGAGGGAATAAAGGTATATTTTAACCACTGAGGTGTCACACTCAAAGCAGTAAAAGGGGGGAAACCTATACTTGTTTCTTTTTCTTTTGTGTTAAAACTTGTATTAATCTAGAATCTATAGAAAGAATGTGTGATGGAAAGAAAATATGACAGATTAAAGAACTACTTAAATTAATAAGCTAATACGGACTATTAAAAGGAAGGAGAGACATTGGTAACTTTTTTTATTAGGCAAACATATATTGTTATTGTTATTTTTAAAATAAATATTAAAGGATTATATTTGAAATAATTGAAATGAAACGAAAAGATGTTTTGATTGAGATTAATGTAAGAGACTAGGATTAATTTGCTTGTTTCTCTCCTTTCTGAAAGTTTGGAATGGAAAAGGTAATAATAGAATTAAATATGCATATATGAATGTATAACTATTGTCATATTTGTATGTAAAAGTGATGACCCGGAAATATGTTGTCCACTAAAAAGAGCTTTTTGTTTTTATGTGAAAAACTGAATAAAATTTGTTAAAAAAAAAAAAAACTATAAGAGTTACAGAAAAGGGAAAAAAATGGAAGAAGAGAGAAGAGGGAAAGCATTGGTTTTATTTTTTTCCATTAAATAAAAAAATAGTTTTCATTAATAAAATGATTCACATTTGTCAAACTAAGAAGTGCTCCAAAAGAGATAAAACCAGCATTCCAGACAGATAAAATTGTCAAGTGATGGTATCCAGCATGCAAAGGAAGTATGTATGGTTCAGATCTGACTACTTACTTTTTGCGTAGATGGTGTGGATACTGCAATACCCATCCCAGATCCTGGGAGAACAGAAAGTACTTTGTACTAAAATAAAACACAAAAGAAAACCCGATTTACATACTGAATACTTTCACATGCAACAGAAAAAGTAGGTTTCACCAGTGCAGAAATTTAAACAACAATATCTTATCTAGATATCCAAAGCTCTTAAAATAATGTATTAAAGTGTAGAATAGCCCACATCTATATATATAAAAGCAAAATACCACTCATGCATCATCACAAAATCTCCAGAATCGTAGAGCTTACAAACTTGAAATGTGGCACTTATGTTCCTCTTGGCTTCTAGGTGCTCACTAAGAAAGGATTTTTCAAAATGACCTTCAGAGAATTAGTATATTATTATTAACATGCTCTGATGCTAAGAGTTCTACTCCCCCTCCACACCTGAACAGAAATCTGTTCCAAATGCAAAGCACAAGCAGGAGAGGAGTTTCAGTTTCAGTTTCACAGCACCAAGAAGCTTAAATACAGAACAGTTGAGCTAAGCCACGCCCAGGCTCCTTGCTGTCTCCTTCCTGTTCACACACCAAATACTGCTTCAGTTTCCAAACAGCCTTCAACTCTCTCACACACTGACAGGGTGCTAGCCAGATGAATACTGATGGATGCTGGTTGGCAGAGGCAGAATTTTTCCCCCCTTATTTTTCTCCCCAAAAACTAAGCCCGACCACAAAGTTTCGTAACGAAGCATGGGTATCAAGCTAGTTTGAGATAAGTGTTTCTGAATGTTGCTTTCACAGTGGAGGAAAAGGACCAAGGAGAATCACTATTTTCTTGTACAGCAGGAGTCCCTAACCCCCAGTCTATGGACCAGAACCGGTCCACGGCATACCAGAAACTGGGCCGCACAAACAAGCAAAGTCCCATCCGTGGTATGCAGGCAACCCACTGCATGCAGGCAGACTGCCCCTTCCAGTCTGCAGGAAGACCTCTCTCCACAGATTCAGTCCCTGATGCCCGAAAGGTTGGGGGCCTTGATTGCTCTACAATCATGTTCCACACAGAGGTCAAATCCAACCACTAGACTGTATAAAGATTAAAAAAAAAAAACCAATAACTGAGTACTGATCAAAACAGCCTAATCCTACCATTTTTTTGAAACCCGCGTGCTTGATTTATACTTTCATGGCTAATGGTAATCTGAAACTATTATTTAAACCAAATGGTTGTGTCAGATTTACTTATGCACAGAACAAATCCATCAAAATAATTGGACATAGGCTAATCATGACTAATTCGTCCCTCTGGTTCAGTGAGTCAGGATTTATTATAGATCAAACACTGCATATGATGGAAAACACTAACCACAGACATTCAATATGCCGAAACAGACGAATTAACGAAACAGAAACAGAATCATTTTTGTCTCTGGTTATTTAAAAAATTAGAAACCAATTTATTAAAAAATGTATCATTGCCAGCCATTTCTACAGCAAAGTAACTACAATGTGAGCATGGAATTTAGCATTTCTAGAAACCAAGTCAATGAATGTTATTTGGAGGCACGACCAACATTCTATATCTGTAAAGATCGTTCAGTGAAAAGGTGTTTAAAGAGAAGATTTGGGGTTAGAGCGTAGGACTATCTCATCCTTGTGCTCCCTTTCAACTCCACAGTTCTGTGATTTTGTCATTTCCTTAATGTAGACCATGTATAGGGTTGCCTATTTCAAACAAGTAACCCTGGGGTGTTACCAAATAGTACATAGAAATAACATAGTGCAGAATTTAGAATAATAATTCAAAGCAATAGCACTTAGACTTACATACTGCTTCACAGTGCTTTACAGCCCTAAGTAGTTTACAGAGTCAGCGTATTGACACCAACAATCTGGGTCCTCATTTTACCGACTTCGGGAGGGTGGAAGGCTGAGTCAACCTTGAGGCTGGTGAAACTCGAACTGCTGGCAGCCAGCAGAATTAGCCTGCAATACTGCATTCTAAGCATTGCACCGCCACGGCTCATTCATAATATTATCCTTAGAACAACTCATAACACAGCAAACATATTGGGCTCCATTAATATCCCACCTAATATCTGAAGAAATTGTCAGCTTTCTCAATCTTCCACACCTCGGGGGAAAAGGTCAGTAGCTGTGACAGAAAAAGCACCTCTCCTGGGTCTTGCTATGTGATCTCGTTTCAGAGAAGTAACTCAGAACATACCCTGACCTGCCAGATCTGATAGAATAAGCTGAAGCCCCTGGAGATACACACAATCCTGCAAGTAACCTGGCCCTTTGCCCTACCTACAAGGCTTCAAAGGTGGTAATCAACACCTTGAATTGCCCTTAAAAGATTACTGGGAAATTGTACAGCTTGTGCAGCAGTGATGTCACATGCAAGAGGAATCTGAGGACTCTTAAGTTAATGCAACAACTCAGTCTGGGGGAAATGTTACCCCATCAAGAGCTAGAGAATGGAGGTCTCCAAAGGGGCCAAAACCAGAGCCATTCAGGCTTTGCTAAGGATAGGTCACAGTTTGTTCTTTTCCCTCCCTGACCCTGACTACCTCCAAGTGCTGGATAAGAATAAGAATTACAGTACACTAAGTTGTGATAAAATTTAACTGCAGAAATAAAATACCACTTTAATAATAATAACGTGTAATAGGAGCCAGGGTGGTGCAGTGGTTAGAATGCAATATTGCAGGCTTATTCTGCGGACTGCCAGCAGTTCGATTCACACCAGCCCAAGGTTGACTCAGCCTTCCATCCTTCCGAAGTTGGTAAAATGAGGACCCAGTATGTGGACTCTGTAAACCGCTTAGAAAGAGAGCTGTAAAAGCACTGTGAAGTGGTATATAAATCTAAATGCTATTGCTATTATTATACATTGTGTATGTATATATTCCAACATAGACATTCTTGAATTAAATTTAATCCCAGGAAGGAAAAGAGACTTTTGATCAGCAAAAAAATTAATTGATGAGTAGAGGTACAATTTACTACAGCTGCACATATTTTAGCAATCAGTTGGAAGATTGACTTCAGGCTGCTCATATAAGTATAGCAAATCACTAATATTCACTAAAACAGTCCTTTGTTTTCAAGGTTCTTTGGAATCTTGGTAAAAAAGATGTAACAGCTCTTTAGGGCAACTACATCTTTTTCATGCTTGCACAGAAATCTGGAGAAAAAAAATAAGAGCTTGCTTAAAGAATAGCACAGAGGTGAAAGTCTAAAGTATTCCTTCCAACTTATTTTTGAGACATGAAGGGTCCTACAGCTAATGCTGTATTCCTACATCAATCCTACACCTAATGCTAAATGGGTCATATATTTTTGAACCTTAATATCTAGGGGCAGCTGTGAATGGATGAGCTTTTTAGTCCTAATCAGTGTTAGTAAATCTGAGGTTTTATTTTACAGAATTTCACTGCATCCATTTGCTGTTTAATACAGGGTTTAATTTTTTTTAACATGACATGTTGGATAAGCTTCTTCAACATAAAAGAAGTTAAAACAAAACACTGAAGAAACATCAAGTACTTACCTTTTGAATATCTGTTATATCTGAAAGTTTTATAACTTTATTTCTTTTAGATGAACCAGATTTGGAACTTTCAAAGCATAAGTAACTAAGGGCAAGGAAAGAAGGAAAAGTTTTTAAAAAGTAAAAAAAAAAAATCCTAAATGATTTAAAATGCTGCCTTTGAGTTATTTATATTTATTTATTTATATTTTGCATTTCTAGACACCCATCTCCCTCAAAGACAGACGGTATAATAACAACATAAATTCAAATTTTAAAACTTAATATGTATCGTATTGTAAGCCACTCAGAGTCATTTTGGTGTCAGAGTCTGAATCCAAGGAGGAAGCCAAACAGCTGACAGGGAGTGGGAGTGTGGCTCTGTTGGCTGTGGAAGAAACTGGGGAAGGGCAAAGTCTGGCTGGGCAGAGCAGGAGAGAGGTAGAACAAGGGAGAGGGAGTTCAGAGGAAGACCTAGGCCCAACCCCTCTTCATCCTAGGGCACACAGGGAGGAACGGAGAAGAGAGCAATATGGGTTGCGTGGCTTACGGGGGAGGAAAGGGCCCTGATTCCCTTCATTAGCCACACCTGGGAAGAGAGTTTAAAAGAGATGCATGCTGAGTACGGCAGCTGCTGGAAGCAAACGTGAGTTTATCTTGTATTGACTTTGATTATCTGTGTTCCTGGCATCCTCCCAACCATGTTGAATTACAGCCGTTCCTTCATGTCTGGAATTCCTTCTCCTGCCCTGCTGGACTAATTACCTCATCTTGACTTGACTGGACTTATGGTTAGAGTTTTTGTTGGCCACGTTTTGGACTTGATTCTCTGCAGCCAAAGGCTGTCCCTGGGAGAGTTTTTCTCCAGCCAGAAGGTAACCAGGACATTGGGGGCAAAGTTGGAGCTAATAAAGGGACTTCTACTGATTATCTGACTATGTTGCCTTTGTGCCATTCCCAGGGTCATCACATTTGGCTAGTGAGATGGGAAGCATCTACATTTAATTTTAATATTTAAATGCTGAAGCTAGGTACCTTTTGTTTTATCCAATTAGCCCAAACTACATATTTTCTGGTGTTCTTACCATTTCATGGCATGCTTTTATCACTTTTTTTTTTCTCTTTGCCTTTCTGGCGCCTGCCTGGCTTAGACCCTGCAGGGGTTTTTGGCAAGATTTTCCAGAAGTGTTTTGCCCTTCCTTTCTCCTTTCTAAGGCTGAGAGAGAGGGACTGGCTCACGATCATGCAGATGACTGTATCTAAAGCAAGACTAGAACTCGCAGCCTCCCAGTTTCTAGCCAGATGCCTTAATCACAATACCAAAGTGGCTTTCTCCTTTAATCACATATTAACTGTGAATTTGTCCTTGTGCAAAACAATGAAGACCTCACCTAAGAAAACCCCACTGAAAACAAGTTCACTCTTTTATTGGAGCCTTCTATAAAATGTTCTTTTCCATTAACCTTTATATTATATCTCAGACTTACCAGACTTATGGCAAGCGTCTTTAATCTATTCAATAACGTTTTTATAGATTCACAAAAAGCTCTGAAAGTTATTTTCTTTCAAATACTTTTTTTGTAATTCACAAAAACGCTTAACTTCCACCCCCACCCCCCCTTAAATAGAGACATCAGATCAGGGGGGCAGAAGTATGGACAACACTAGAATATGGGAGAAAAATAGCTCCCTAGTGCCAGCTAGTGATTATCCAATTTTTTTTGCAGCCCAGGTGGCCGTAGCTTTAACATTCTGCTGTAAATCAAGCAAACACTTACTTTTCAGTAACATAGAGAACTCCATTCCTGATGTAATCAGTGGTTATCTTCCTATCTCTGTTTATCAAGCAGCAGCGCCAGCCATTTTCACACACTACAAAATAGTACAATTATTCCATTTTACTTTTATACAGGAAGCAGCTGTAATATTGGTACATTTCAGATACATTTAAAAGTTCTATATACAGAGTTGGCAAGGAAGCTCCTACAAGGAAAACTTGTTCGTAAAGAACTCTTCATATTGAAGAGTTAAATCTTCAATAAACTTTGATTTATGTGGTAAGTTTTCTTTTTAAAAGTCACCAAAGCAACATAACCTAAATCTTGAGAATGCATACAAACTCTTCTAGACACTGAAGTAAATATTTCAAGCCAGGGTAAAAGTTAAAATTCTCTGACAAATGTATGCTCCAATTCCTCAAATTTATATTTCAACAAAGGTCAAACCAGGCACCCCACTTGCACAGAGACTCTGCTGACTGCAAGATAAAAGATTAATATTGATCTGCTGTACATGGAATCCAACAGTAGATCACATTATGATGTCAATCATTTCTTAATAATATTACTTTATGGGCCTTTTTAAAAAAAAGTCTCATTACTTAATGTCTACCTCCAAAGTTGTGTGAGTACCTGCCAATGGACGCTCATGTTCTGACAAATTAAATACTTCATGGAAGTTTCCTCTCTTGGTATTGTGAAAGCGGCTGGTTTCCTCATCCCGACTCACTCCTGTTGAGGTGTTTGAACCTACATAGCTTCGGGATGCAGTTGTTTGAGGCTGAAACAACATTAACTTGGCTTTACTAAACACTTGCAGAAATCATATAAACTTCAGTTATGTTATCTTCCCTTGTCCTCAGGAAATGTCCTGCTTCAGTGCTAGAAACCCATGTCTGATGCAGCCGCAATCCCTCTCCAAAATATCCAGGGTTGATTAACTTGTGAAGGATTCCATTAACATCAGGCTGTGAGTTAGAATTCATAAAGTATGCACAGACGCATTGTGTGATACAATTGCACAGGAAGGTGAAAAGCTCTTTCATATATAAGTAGTTTTACTTGACATAGGATCTCTTCTGAAGGCTGCCATGCACAGCATACTGTTGTGCAACTCCTTCAACTGAATCCTCCAGAGGACTGTATATCGTGTAACTGATCTGTGTTGTGGCCCAAAACAGGGCATGACATTTTTTTGGACATCCTTTTGAGGGATAAGAAAATGCATCTTACATTCAAAAACAAAAAAGACCCCCAATCTCATCTATGAGAACTTCAGACAGGAGCTTTCCGTGAGGTTGCAGGACCTGCCACCAATAAAGCATCAATATACTATGGTGCAATTTAAAACACTGCAGCTATACATGTTCCCAAAGCACCCAAAAGCCATAAGTAGGATCTCATCAAAGTCATAAAAACAAGTGATTCAGTTGGCATGATATTTGTTCAGCAAAAATTGGTTAGCAGGACTATTACAAGACGGGGGAAATGGGCGACAAAATATTACCACAAGCCACCTCATAAGCTTGATAATACAGTAGATGTTTTTAGGCGGGAAATTCCATTCACATTCCCACTTACACAGGAAGTCCACTTCTATTCTAGCCAGCTTTTAATAAGCATAAGCTCAACACTGATTCAGGAATGTTGATTATATACAAGTAGTCCTTGACTTAGAACCATTCATTTAGGAACTCTTCAAACTTACAATGGCACTGAAATAGGCAATTTACAATCGGTCCATCGCAGCATCCCCATAGTCATTGAACCAAAATTTATGATTGGCAACCAACATGCATTTATGTCAAGATGCAGTGTCCTGGGGCCATGTGATTTCATTTTCAGCCTTCCCAACTGGCTTCCAACAAGCAAAGTTAATGAGGGAAGCTGGTTGCGTTTAACAATCATGTGGTTCACTTAACAAATGTAGTGGAAAAGGTTATACAATTGGGCATAACTCACATAACAACCACTTCGCTTAGCACTGGAAGTTCTGGCCCCAATTGCAATTTTAAGTCAAGGACTACTTATAACAATACTTTCCTATTCCTTGGCATTGTAAGAGGGAAATGGTGGGGCAGAAAAACTTTTTTTATAACTTTATGCATTTTGACTCATGGGCTCCAAAGCTTAATTTGCTGTTTTGTATCAAGTGGCCATTTACACAGCAAATATATTCCAATATACACAGATTTAAATTTGGGATGAATTACAATTGCCAACATTCCCAGCTGCCCAGGCAACTAGATTGGTCTATCACCAAGTTTAAATGAAGGCATCTTTCATTTCTGTATCAATTATTTTTCAAAGTACTGTAACACGTAAATCATTATAAGCAAGAGGACTTTCATGACTATTAATTTTGAAGGTATATCATATTGTTAATAATGGTGTACATTTCTAGAGTTTTCTTCCATTAATCAAGCAAAGTAGAATTAAATAAAGCAATAGTTATATAAGTGCTCTGCCACATCAAGTTTATCAAACCATGTTTTCAACTGAATAGGGAAATATTGAACACAATGCAAAATTGATCCATTAATAGTAAAAAAAAAAACAGTTTCTACACCCCTGGGTCTTTGGATTCAAATGAAGACCCATTACTGCAAATAATACAAATGTAAACATTACAGTAAACATCTGCATACACGACAGAGGTGGGAAGAGATAGCGGGAGAAAGAAAGAAAAATTGCTGCTCATTATGAACACAAATGATCATCTGAAAGACAGAAGATATTCCACTCTAAGATCCATACCTTTTCATGACCTGACAGCTAGCAGGAGGAGAAAACAAACAAACAAACACAATGTGATGATGACCAAAGAAAAAAAAAGCAAAACCTATTTAATTGTATCATATGCAGAATAAAAATACAAACTGAGTGAGTTGGCAAGATTTTTTTTTTGCATACCAAAAGACTAGATCCAATATTTTTTTAAAAAAAATCCCTAAAAGATATCAATGGATAGAGCACAGTTTTTGAATTTTATTAAAACTATGGGTGCCTGGCTAGATGTTCCCATCTTTGATTCCTGACTTGCTTTGCACAAGTTGGTGATGTTTAATAATTTCCTCTAATGAGGATTTAGCTGAAATTGGTTCACAAAAATATTTGAGAGAATTCTGTAGTGTTTGTGTGTGTGTATGTGTGTTTTAATTTTTAAATGATTTTGAAAGGAGTGACGATTAGAATGAATGTAACTTTGCTTTTCACTTCTTTAATCATTTGGCACTAGCTGAATGAGACTAATTGTGGAAGATGCTGATGGGGGCATTAGTGGATACCAGGGGTGTGAAACTTGCAGCCCAGGGGCTGGATGCATCACGTACAGCCCATATCCCCCCCAGCTCCACAAAGAGAAAAACAGTCACAAAACATCACATGATGGCAATGTGACACCACAAGTTTGACACCCGTATCTTATACTAATAACAAGGATGGAAATATCTATCAGGAGATCCATTGTGAAGCACGTAGGAGCCACTTTAAACATTCAGGACAAAGAGTCAGATAAAACATAATTTAGGATTTAGTTGCATGCTTTATATACATGTTCTCCCTTCAAGATAGCAAAACATATATATTTTATTGTAGTGTCTATTTTTAGCTACCACACTTGGAGGGTGAAAGAAACTGTAACAGAGACACCAATTATTCACCCCTGATTTAAGGCTAGAAGTATTTTATTACTTTAAAAAAAAAAAAGAAATTTCAATTTTTACTACCGTTATATGTTACCTGATTGTAGACAAACCAAACATTTGTTCAGGACATACAGGAGGAACTCTTTATCTTTTAGCTCTTAACAACGTATTCAATGTCTTAACAATAACTATAGCTTTAGGATTGAAGCACAAAGAAGCAATTGTTGGTTTCTTAACAAGTCAATGGATTAAACATGCAGCCCCAGACTGCTAATCTGGCAAGCTGCTGCATTTTAATTCCATAAACATAGCCAAGTTTATCATTACTCCAGATATATGCCATTATTACAGCTGCACAATGAGCAAAGTTAAAGATTAGTTTATATTGAACAATGGCACAAGCAGAGTCAAGTTCTTAGTTGGACTTTACTTGTATACCCCAAATCTAACTTTCTTTTCTTTCTGTGAATTCAAATATTGTTAAGAACATATTACAATCTTTCAGATTTTAGAGGAAAGCATTTCCTTTTTAATTTAAAAAACAATAACCTGGCACTCTCTAAATTGTTTTAAAAAGTCCTTTTTTCCATTGAACAGTCTCTTACTTTAAAAGCATTCCTATTCCTGAAGATTTTAGAAAGAAGTGGGCAGACAGGAATAGTAAGCTAAGTAAGTGCATGGGAATGTAAATATTGGGCCTGAACCATGAACAACTAGCCCTCTATGTGCTCTGCTCACTGAAGCTACACAGATGTTGTTAAGTTGTGTTATGAAGGAAGAAACAGGAAAGAAAGAAAGAAAGAAAGAATTACCCGTCTTGATACTGTAGCATTAGCCCTTTCTTTGAGTTGAGGATCCGTAGGCAAGTTCAACCATATGATATAAGGAGTATCATACTTTGCCCGTAGTCTTGGACACCGTTTGAAGACAAAATCAATCAGAAAAAATTTAATTCCTGCATAAAGTCCTGCATAATTAGAAAGTCAAAGGTTGGAATGAGGAAAGTTTCATGACTGAAGTATGAAAACAAAATCTCTCTATATAAAAGTGAAATACCATTCATGCATCATCACAAAATGAACCGTAAAGCCTACAAACTTGAAATTTGGCACATATGTTCCTCTTGGCTTCTAGGTGCTCACTAAGCAAGGATTTTTCGAAATGACCATCAGAGCATTAGTATTTCGTATATTATTATTAACACGCTCTGATGCTAAGGAGTTCTACTCCCCCTTTCCACCTGAAAAGAAATCTGTTCCAAATGGAGAAGAGTTTCAGTTTTAGTTTCATAGCACCAAGCAGCTTTAGTACAGAACAGTTGAGCTAAGCCACACCCAGGCTCCTTGCTGTCTCCTTCTTGTTCACACACCAAATACTGTTTGAGTTTCCAAACAGCCCTCAACTCTCTCACACATTGACAGGATGCTAGCCAGATGAATACTGATGGAAGCTGGTAGGCAGAGGTAGATTTCTTTCCCCTTATTTTCTCCCCCAAAACTAAGCCCGATCACATAGTTTTGTAGCGAAGCACAGGTATAGAGTTAGTTATACTATAAATACTAATTTGCAAATACAGGTAGCCCTCTACTTACGACCACAATTGAGCCAAGAATTTATGTTGCTAAGTGAGAAATTTGTTAAGTGAGCTTTGCCCCATTTAACAAACTTTCTTGCCTCATTTGTTAAGTGAATCACTGCAGTTATTAAATTAGTAACACAGCTGCTAAGTTAATCTGGCTTCCCCCATTGACTTTCCTTGTCGGAAGGTTGCAAAACATGACACCGGGGCATTTCAACCGTCATAAATATGAGTCGGATGCCAAGCATCCAAATTTTGATCATAGGACCATGGGGATGCTCCAATGATTGTAAATATGAAAAACGGCCATAAGTCACTTTTTTCAGTGTGCTGTTGTAACATTTTAACGGTCACTAAATGAACTGTTGTAAGTCAAGGGCTACCTGCACTATGAAAGAGGTCTTTAACAATATGCAGGGGCCTATCTGAAGATGCTTTCTTTGGACCTTTAAAGCAGCTGCCTCTTTTTCCAAACTTACATAGTTTGTCAGGAAGTATTTCTGCAAAGTTGCAGTGCCTCCCTCACCCAAATTCATCCTGAAAGCAAGCTTGCAAAGTGAAAGAGGCTCAGATATAGTGACTCACTTGAAGTTGGTAATAGCCACTATTTTTTTAAAAAAAAAAAAGAATTTCAAACTTTATTGCAACCAATAGTCAAGTAAGAAGTGTCTAAACCTGCTGTATAGCAGGATTCTATGAGGAGAGCCGCCCCACAACAAATCATGATTAGGAAAGTCACCAAAGAACGTTACAAGTAGAATTATTCAACTTATAGGTACTGCTGAATATACAAGTTCAGGCTTTGAAAATAATGCCCAATTTATCATTTTCCTTGACGCTTTTATTGAACACAAACATTGTAAGGTCCTTGTCTTGGAACGTTGATTTCCTGGTAACTCCAAGGCAATTTAGGGTGTGGCCCACCTTTTATTATACTGCAACTTTTCTAGGGACCTACGTGTCACCCTAATTTCTGTTCTCCTACAAGATGTACCGGTGGAAGAAGAGCTAGTCATTTCACTTCCTTTGTCAGACATCTAGACCAGGAGTGTCAAACTCACGGCGTCACGTGACGTATCGGGACTTTTTCCCCCTTCCCTAAACCGGGCGTAGCCGTGGTCAGTGCATGACACATCCGGCTCACGGGCCAGGAGTTTGACACCCCTGATCTAGACCAACATCACCCAGCTAAATTGGTTACATTATACACTGTACCTACACAATTTCCTTATGCTAGCAATGGGGATGAGAATTATGCTCCTTACGTTTTGCTTTATTTTATGACAATGCTAACAATCATTTGTTTGATTTTAGGCCTTGGGCAGATGCTATACTTTACTTTAAACAGCTCAGATAAGCCTCATATCCTCTAGTTCGATATTTCATTTATAGTATTGCTTCTTGAATGTCTTTGTATTTCTGCTGTTATCTTGACTGATGATTGACACAAATGAGCAATTACGATTGTTGTTGTATTAATTAGTTTTGTACCTGATTCAGTAACCCGCATCTGAATATGGTAAACTAACTCAAAAATAAAGAGAAATAAAAAGAACATTGCTGACAGCTAAGAACAGGTAAATTGATTAGCCATCTCCAAACAGTGTGATGTTATAACATAAACTGCATAGGTGGTTTGGAAACCAAACCAATTGCTCATTTTTTAGCAGGACGTGGAATTCTAACATTTTAGAAAGCAAGAAAATATAATAGTTTTACCTATTGAAAGCCCAATGATCCGGTAAGGAATGCAGCAGGATGCAATAAAAGCTGCCCATAAAACAATATATAGTTTCTGCGTTACTTCAGGCTGGACCCACATGAACAAACTGGAGAGAGAGAACAGAAAATAAAGGTAAATAGGCAGCATTTAAATATGTCATCATTCAGACCTGATGAAAAATATGTTGTTAAAAAGAGAAGTATATAGAAACTTACTTTTTAATTTTTTCCAGTATATCTGACATTTTGCCAAATAAATTCTGTAATCAAGAAAGAAAATGAGTATTAGATTAGAATACACGTCTGTGTATATGAAAAAAAAGAAGTAGTTCAAACTCTATGCCAGTGGTGGCTAACCTTTTTCGTCTCCTGTGTTGAAAATTGTGTTTGCGCACACTCGCATGCCAGCACCAGAAGGCAATGCGCCCGCCCCCCCGCCCCCTGCACATGTGCACATGATCCCGTGTGCGCCACGTCTCTGTGCATGCGCATGCCCCAACACGCAGCTCTGCGCATGCATGCGCTTCTCCCGTGCCTCCCATGCATGTGCGCCAGATACCCGACAATCAGCTATCAGGTGGGTGCGCATGCACAGTGGGGCTCTTCCGGGCGACCTCTTGCGTGCTGGCAGAAGTGGCTCTGCGTGCCACTTCCATCACGTGTGCCATAGGTTCACCATCGTGGCTCTATACATTTACTATGTTCTGCTATTTCTCAAATCATCGTCGTTTAACAACCCCATAATCCCTTGTGAGGTGGAGTCTGGGCAACTGAATGGAGCTAGCCAAGTGTTTTAATAGCTGGATGCCTTTCCTGTTGCCAATGCGGAGTTCTGTTCAGCAGATATAGTCTCAGTGTGCCCAGAGAGAGAAATATCTGCCTCTACCTAGGATCGAACTCACAGCCTCCTGATTGTGAGGCGAGAGCTCCACCTCTAGGCCACCACACCACTCTTCTGCTGTTTCTCAAATGAGGTGGGAAAATCAAGTGTGACTAATACAAGCCACCTTTCATAAACGTTCTGGTCCAGTAGGCTATACTCTCCAAGCACCATTTCTCATGTGCAGATTTCTCTCAGATTCCTACCTGCAACTTGCTAAATAGAGATGCCAAAGATTTCATACCTGTGCTTTTTGTGCCACATCCAGAACAAGCTGGAACTTTTCTGACACGGTTAAGTCTTCTTTGGGAGGTTCCTAAAACAGTAAGTATGATTTGTCATCAAACCATGAATGTGTGACTTTAAACTTAAAGAAAGGAAAAATACTCTCCAATAATGTTGTGGCTTATTTTAACTACTAATTTACTGAAACAAAGCAGCTGCATAAACTGCACTTTAAAACTAACCAGCTTGCCTCTGGTTTAAAGTGTCATTATTTTAAAAAGGAACAAAAGCATCCAATATATTCCTCAAAGCTATCCCCTAAGGCAGAGAGAGGGAAGAATAAGAGCCCTAGGCTTACCAAGCATTATTCATTCATATAATAATACATACTTTATGGTGACAACCAGATCTGGCTTTTGTAAATATATGCCAGACTGTAGCCAATGTTGTTGTTTTTTTTAATCACTAGGCTGAACACAGCTAGTGGACAACATTCACTTCTGTGCTCGAGGTACCAAGTCTGCACTAGCAAGTTTGGAGAATTTGGAGTACAATCCATAGCCCAGATTCAAAGAAATAAAACAATAGCAAAAGAATTGGAGATGGATTGTTTTACATATTTTGCAAACTTTAATCCAATCCAGATGTTTTGGCCAGTATGATCACATGGATCACACCTTTTCCATGTTAAAATAAATTCATTGTCTGGAACGACTGCAACTAGAGTATTTGAAAGACAACTTGGTGCCTGAACAACTAAACTCATCCTACTACGAACACATAATAAACTATTAAAATACATAATGTAGATTTAACATTTAACGAGCTTAAGACCTCAGTGATGTAGCTGCCCTCAAAGAGAAATAACTAGACATACCCTGACACTGGCAAATTATTTTAAGTCATTGTTCAGAATTTCATATATATTAGATTCCAGATACTTCAACATATAAGTCATATACAGTATTCCATGTTTCTTCTTTAAATAAACAGTATACCATGGTCTTTTATATAATATATTTTAAAAAAAACATATGAAGTCACAATATGATTAAAGTTGAGTTGATTTAAAATTATCAAATTAGAAAATGCCTTATAGATAGTTCAGGTAGTCCTTAACTTACAATCAAATGTTTAGTGATCATTTGAAATTATAACAGCACTGAAAAAAGTGACTTACAACCAGTCCTCACACTTATGAGCTGTGGCAGCGCAATGGTTAAAAGGCACTATTGCAGGCTAAGTCTGCCCACTGCCAGGAGTTTGATCCTGACATATTTAAGGTTGACTTCTATCCTTCCGAGGTCGGTAAAATGAGGACCCTGATTGTTGGGGACAATATCCTGACTCTGAAACCGCTCATATAGTGTGCTGTAAAGTACTGTGGAGCAGTGTGATGACCAGGAGTGTAACACAAACATAACAAAATCCAAAATGTAAATAAATGTCCTTTCATGCCTCCAACTTGGCCCCACTGTTCAATAATTCTCAGTTGGAGATAAAATGTATTCAAAAATAGTCTTCAAAAGAAAGCAATACAGTCCAAACTTAATGAGCAGATAGAGGTGAAATAAAAACAAACTACAATGAAGGAATTTCCACAACGGACCAGGATAAGTAATTACCAACTTCATGGAGATAACAAGGCACAATCTGTTGGAAGGACACCAACCAAGATAACTTCAGCCCAAAATAACACACACTTTGCTTCTGGCAACGCTGTGTTTTAACCGTCTCTCTTATATACTATTCTCTCCAGCTGCAACCAATGAGGGGGATCATGGCCGCTTCCTCTCTCGTAAGCCAAATTGTTTCCTTTTCCGTTCCTCCCTGAAGAGGGGATGGGCCTGGTTCTTCCTCTGACTGCCCAACTGGCCTCTGCCCTTCCCCAGCCTCCTCCACAGCCTCCGGAGTCACACCTCCACTCCCTGTCGGCTGTTCCTCCTCTCCCTTAGAGTCAGACTCTAACAAGGGCATGACAAGCGGTATATAAGTCTAAGTGCTATTGCTACTGCAACCATAGCAGCATCCCTACGAACATGTGATCAAAATCTGGGTACTTGGCATATGTTTACAACATGTCCTGGAGTCATGTGGGCACCATTTGTGACCTTTTCAGCTGGCTTCCAACAAGAAAAGTCAATGGCGGAAGTGGGATGTGTAAAAACTGCAGTGACTTGCTTAACAACCAAGGAAAAAGGGTCATAAAACTGGGCACAGCTCACTTAACAGCTGCTTTGTTTAGCAATGGAAATTCTGGTCCCAATTGCGATTGTAATCTGAGGACTAGCTGTGTAAATTTAAAACATATCAAAACGTTCATACAAACATTTCAAAAGTTATCTCAGCATCATTTGGACTTACAATAGGCTCAGAAACTTCAGGCACAATGCTCCATTGTATCCTCCACCCTCTAAAAAAAAAAAGGTATTTGCATTGAGGGAGGAACACTGGTTTTCTATGTGGCTTCATAACAATGAAACAGAAGAAATCCTTTTGAAAAGCAACTCGTGAAGGCAACTGAATATATCTTTCCAAATTTTAAAAAACTTTCTTTAATATAGTCCTGACATCCATCTTAAAGGGGTCTTGTAGTCCTGAATGTTCAATAGACTACATTAGATTGAATAATTAATAAAATGCATAGCTAAGACTTTTAAAAAAGAAATAAAGAAATAATTAGGCTACTGCAACAATGTTGTTGCACATAAAGCATTGATTCAATGTAGATTATTTGACTAGGCAATCAGGATTTAACATCATGCTTATTATGATCAATAAAATATTCCATCACAGAATTGAAATATAGTAAATAAGTATTTATATTTCAACTTTCCTAAAAATTGGAATTCCCTCTATACGTTTGTTGCGTAAAAGGATTTCCATAAATACAAGAGGAAATGGGGCCATATTTCAAAGTTTATCTCTTTTGGAAAGCCACATGATTCTGTCAATCAGTTCCTGATTACAATTATCACTTCTCACATTAGCTATTCTCAATGTGCGGATGTTTGCTATAAAGACAACGGCAGCAATTTTGCAGGCAATGGATCTGAATAGACTCTGCTCAACTCAATGGGACACACTTGCTGACTGAGTCTAAGCCATTCCATTATAAGAAATGCAGGAACAGTAGAAGTAACAATAATATTTGGTATAAATTTGGCACATAAAAATGCGATGAATAAGGGTTAGGGAAGGATTTGCTAACACACCAACAATCCAAATGCTATGATTTCTTGCTTACTTTCTCCTCTTATTAAAATTTGTAATAAAGAAGCTACAATTATGCTGAATTTCATATTCCCCAAACATCTGAAAGGCAATTTAACTGATTTGTCTCCTTTCCATTTAAACGTAACACAGAGGGCATAAATCACGTTTTGTTTGCAAGAATAATCGAAATGTGATGATAAGGTCGTACTAGAGTAGAAGTAAAGTAAAATCCTGGATGAAAAACAAGACCAAAACCTATTTATTTAATCTATGTAATAGGGAACATTTCAGGTTCTTACTCTTTAGGAAGGGTTGGGAGTTCCTGAATGGCCCTTGAAAGAATATTTTCCTTGATGAACTAGCACTACCAGCTACTAGTTCTTAAGTAACATATTTCTGACATGGAGGAAATCTATAACATTAAGTACTATAAGTAAATGCTCCCTCAAGTCAATACTTCAGTAATTAGATGGGACATCTGTGCAGTTTGGTTGACAATAGATTGGAAGACTAGCCCTCACTAATGTGGAACAATTGGAAACCAGCTTGGCTAAACATAATCTAGCAGTCAGGACATCCAGTTATGAATACAGAATCCCAACCAGTCCTACTCAGTTGCCTGTGGTCTATACAGCAGACCATCTTGCTTCTGATTATGTCAACGTAGTTTCTGGAGAAACATCAGGAATTTTGTTCCCTATAGCACAATTACTAAATCTTGAAGCCCAACCGGATGGTAATAGCTTACTACCACCTTCTCCCAAGGAGTTTCTCATCTCCCCAGTCTAGCCAACAAACCTGGGATTTTCCTGGTGGTCTTTCACCTATGTACGAATTGAGCCCAACTCCGTTTAGCTTCCCAGCACAGACGTGGTCAGCCAGGCGGAATAGGCAATTCACCTCAGACAACTTGCTGACAATTCCATGTGGCATAAATCGACTCAATAAATGTTATCTGCCACTGACAAAAAATGGAAATAATGTGAAGAAACAGTAGCAGGTAACATTTATCGAGTTATCCCATGTGGAATTGTCCTGTAGTGAGTTGGCCATGGCAAAATGGCCGCACTGGGTTGGCTGTGGCAAGATGGCGGTGGCGAGTTGGATGTGGTGAGTTGTCCTAGACCCTCCACCAGATACTGCCATCCACTGAGACAGTCAAAAAGCTAGAAACTGGATATTTCCATGTGCAGTACAAAAAATTTAAAGCACGACACCACCAAAGCCTGGAATTTCCTATTTTGTTACCAATTTTTAAATTAAGTGCATTAAATAGGAAGACAATATAAAAATGCATTATTTATTTATTTAGACAAACTCATACACCATTTTAAATTGTATAAATTCTACCAGTAATATACTCCAGTATTTGTAACATACCTATTATTGACAACATATTAAAGAGTGATTACCTGGCTATGAGGTAATTTAGGGACAACCTCAAAATTGCTAAAAATAAGAACATAGGAATGGCCCAGCCATGCCATACAGCATTCATGTACATCTACAAATAAAAGAACAAATAAACCACATGTTATCTTTCCATGCAATTATTATGTTAAAAAGTATTAACAGCAATGGATAGGAAACTTTCATTGCAACACTACATACCTTGAATTAGATATTGAACACATTATTTTCACTATGTAAATTTGAAAGCATTCCTAATGTCATGTATTTCTTAAATTTCTATGCAGTCTCTGTTCAGAAGCTCATGGAAGCATACATGCAGTATCTTTTTAGGCATGGTTGCAGATTTCTTTAAATTAAAAAGAACCATAAAATATTTATTTGTATGACTGTTCATTAGTTTAACAAATTTATACAGTGATCTATCTCACTGAACATGATTCTGATGGTATAAAACCTATCATAACAGAAGCAATACTTAGTCAATTGAAAGGTTTTCTTTAAGAGTTACTTTTTAAAGATATATTAAGTCTGAGGCAAAGGTAGAAATAACACAGGTAGTCCTTGACTTACAACAGTTCATTTAGTGACCATTCAAAATTACAACAGCACTGAAAAAAGTGACTTATGACCTTTTTTCACACTTATAACCATTATAGCATCCCCATGGTCACATGATCAAAATTCGGATGCTTGGGAACTGATTCATATTTATGACCATTGCTGTGTTCTACGGTCATATGATCACCTTTTGCAACCTTCTGACAAGCAAAGTCAATGGGAAAGCCAGATTCACTTAACAACCGGGTTACTAGCTTAACAACTGCAATGATTCACTTAACAACTGTGGCAAGAAAAGTCGTAAAATGTTGGGATCAGTTATGACCACAAGTCAAGGACTGTCTGTATTCTATAAAGAAATATTACCTGCAGGTGAAAATACCAAACATACCTCAGCTTGATTTTTTTTTAACTACAGATGTTCTGAGCTTTCCAATTAAAACTCTTGACTTACAACTAGATCACTTAGCAACTATTCAAAATTAGGATGAACCCCACAAAAACTACTTGTGACTGATTTTGAAGATATGATGAATTAACCTTGCATTTTGGGCATCTGGCAATTGGCACACCCTTATGGCTGTTTGCAGTGTCCCATGGTTATGTGACAATTCTCAACGTTTTTTGCACAATTCTGGCATTTACTTCCAGCTTCTGATAAAAATTACCCAGTGGGTAAAATGGGTTTGCTTAACAACTGCCATGTTTGCTTAATGCTCATGGCATTTGCTTAACAACCACAAAAAATAACACAAAAAAAAATCTGGTCCAGTGATGTAATAACTCGACTTAAAATCGCAATTACTTCTACCTGTAATTTTGGGCTCAACTACAATTATAAATTAAGGACCACCTCAATTCACTGAATGTAGTACATCAGATTAATTGTAAGCCACGTTTTCAAAGAAATCATAAACAATTTCAAATATTGGCAGAATTGTTAGTGATTGTCATCATTTTCTTTTCTATAACAGAATTTAAATAACAGAACATTATTCTGTTAGTCAAATTGTATGTTGCTCAACTAAGAAAGAACAACTTACAATAAAGGCAATAGCAGAAGTGTAGACAGAAAACCAGTCGGATAAGGCAGAAAGATTCTTCACAAAATTTGTAACAGGTTTGGCACCTCTCTCTAGGCAGGACAGAAAATATAGATATAACTTTAACTACTTAGGCGTGTGGTTTACAGGTACAATTGAAAATGGCACAAGAAAAAGATACAAAGACTAAAAGTAGAGACAGTTAATTTTTTAAAATCAAATCAAATGTCATTCAGAATATTTTTACAGATAATCTGTGGTCACTCATTTGTATGATCTTTGTATCCACAATCTCCTCTTATTACTTTTGTATTTAAACAAAACTATCTGTGATTTTTCAAAAGTCCAGATGCTAGAAACTGAATAATCGACTGAGTTACGTCACTTCATTTATATAACTACAAATTAATATACAAAACAGCCTCCAATGAAACAGAAAAATGATAAAGGGGCTTTGCTCTTGTTATGATCCACTTCACACATGCAAATTGCCTCTTGAAATTCATAACAATGAGCATGTTCATCTGAACTTATCCCCAAATCATTCATATTAGAAGCATCCTAAATCTAATTTGTTTGTTTGTTCTGTGGCATACACAGGTCTCCTTATTTCCCCTTATCAGGTAAACTTATTCAGAGACAGAATACTAGCCCAAAATCTAAAACTTGTTAGCCTAAAACCTGACATTCCCTGCTAGTAATCCTTAACCATCATAGTACACTGCCTCTCTTAGTATAAGAGACAGCAACAGAACGTATAAATCTATCACTTGCTTGTAGTGCATATTTTAGATCTAGCCGATCTGCATTCTTACACTCAGAATGAACAAGATCTACTGAAATGTCACCCATCTGCATTTGGTATGTCATCCCATTACAGATATTATCAACAATATAAACATGGTTAAATACTTACTTAGTCTTCTCATATTTTCTGTTAGCCTGAAAGTAAAGAATAAACATAATAAGCCGCTTTGAAAATTAATGCATTTCTGTTTGCTATTAGTACATCTAATGCAGACTTGATTCTAAAATGATATGCATATGGTCTTTAAAGATAAGATAGAAAATCTTCGCAAATTCAGAGTTAAATTAAAAATATGGAACGGTAATACACACTGTTGCTGATTACAGAAACACAAAGACACACTTGCACATGCACATACATAAACAAAATGAGAGAGAAAAACAAAGAAAAATACATTTACAAAAATTAGTAGTTTTAAAATTCCGTTTCATTATAAATCAAATATAAAAGTAACAATTAAGAACTATATGATATAGAATATAAGCCAATATCAAATTATGATAGAATTAAAGGTAAAGCTTCTCCTCACACATATGTGCTAGTCATTTCCAGCTTTAGGGTATATGATAGACATGCCTTTAATTAACGCTATACTGTTTGTTATCTAGTACATTGATCGAAGGGATTTTTACGTTTATCGTCTTTACATAAGCAAATAGCCTTCCAATATAATTTACCGTCTTGCACTGAGCGGCTCTTCTGTTTCCACTGTGTTTTCTTCTGGCTGAAATCTAAAGTCCTCAATATATTCTCCAAATTTATCATAAATCCACTTCTGAACTCTTGAACACACCATGTGGCTGCGTTTATCTAATAATAAAAAAACACATCACATTTTTAAGTGACTTCCAAAACTATCAGTTCAAAACTACTTACAGAAGTAAGTAATATTCTGAAGCACAACCAGAAATTCATAAGATGGCAGGATAATTAATATTAACAGAATCTATTGCTCTAAAACATCAGGAAACTAAACTTGTTCATTGGCAAAAGGGCTTGCCAGGAATTCTCATATTGGAATCAAGTTCCATCCATGTCTAAATGCACTGAATCCCCGGTACCCAAAAGGTTGGGGGCTGATGCTCTAAAGAGAGAGAAGAAAACAACAACTGAATGAAAAACTGCTGGTGACCTTCTACCACTGCACCATAGAGAGTATCTTAACTTACTGCACCTCTGTATGGTTTGCCAATTGCATAGTGGCAGATAGGAAAGCACTCCAGAGGGTCTTCTGATCATTGGTTGCCCTCTCTCCTCTTTGGAAGAGCTTTATAGCTCCCATTGCCTTAAGAAAGTTCAAAACATTCTCAAAGATCCATCTCATTCTGGGAATCCTTTTTTTGAACTATTACCATCTGGCAAACATTACAGGATAATAAAAACAAGGACAAATAGGCTGAAAAACAGCTTCTATCCCAGGGCAGTAACTCTATTGAATTATACTGTATAGTGCAATATTAATGCAATATCAGGGGTTTTCAATTCGATGTACAGAATGTGAAGCATGTGTGTTTGTGTTTATTTTCATAGTCATAATGTACACAGAACATGGTATTTAATTTCGTTGTACGAGGTTCAATGACAATAAACTAAACTAAACTAAACTAAAGTTTACATAAAAGATCATAACACAGCAATAACCATTTCAGTTGTGGCTCATATAAGTAACCAGGTGTTCCAAGTGTGAATTTAATAAAAATACTAAATAAAACAGTTTTGCAGAAGAGCTCATATGCATGAATGAGAACTCCCATAGATATTATTTCAAGTCCTCCGTTTCAAGAAATATTACATTCATCCATCCATTCACAAAGTAACCAATTATGAATTTAACTGCTTCTGAAAATTTGTATTTATTCATGTATTTTACAAAGAGAACTTGTTAGGTTAAAACCACTGTAAACTATTTATTTTGATTTTGTTTTTGTAATATATTTATTTTGAGGCAACAACGGATGCCATCTCCTCCACAGTGTAATTCCCATCTTCAGATAACATAACAACCCCTGATAAATTTCAACAAAGAAAGGTCTGTCTTATTTATAGGATTCTTGGGGAACAGGGCCTATTTGCAGGGTAGGTTTTGGTAAAGCTTGATTGAGATAAATCAATGTACACATTTTCTCTGCTTTTCTTTTGCAGAGGGAAGGCCTTTACAGTCGCCAATCTGATAATTTCCAGATATGACAAAACTCACATTCCATCATCCTCAAACATTTGATCAGGATCTGTTGATAGTTCTGAATCCATAATTTTCTGTAGTATATTTTTTAATTAGTATTGCCAAGGAGAATATGTTATACCTGGGAATGCATAGACTTTTACACGAGAATATTTTTTTTTGTTTTTTTTCTTTCTGCTTGGAATAATTCTTTCTACTGGTAGTCCATGGGACAGAGAATAAAAATGGCTGGTTTAACTAGCTCTCAGCCTCCTTATTTTTTTTTTCTATGCTGAGCTGAGGGTATGGCTGAGTTCCTTTTGATCCTTTTCAAAAAAAAAAATTAACTAATCAAATTTAGATTTTTCTAAAAGCCAGCTTTTATTTTTATTCACTTTCAGTGTAGAAAGGGACTGCAATTTCCACATAACAGAATGCGTTAAGGCAGAGAGATGCACATTCTGCTAGATATTTCATTTATAAAACTCTACGGCTAACCAGGGGCATTCTTGATCTGGTTGCTCTTCTGCACTCTTACAATTAAAGCCCATCTGTAATCATCAACAGTTGTAGTAATGAGCCAGGTATACCTGTTCCATTCTGTGCTTTGGGGGGCTGCTGGGTAGATGGAGGTGATTCGTCTGCTCTAAAACAGATTAAGAAAACAAGTGCAATTTAGAATACATTCATTGAACAACACAACTCAAGACCAAAAACAGAACCAAACAAAATGTCAATATTTCAAAGGAACAGAGAGAAGGGATTTCTTATCTTACAATTTCCACAAGAAAGATAAACCAAAGCAGCTGCTTTGAACAGCCAAGCTGGAGCAACATTTAAGGCGGGCTCTGTAAGACTTTGAGGGCAATGGCTGCATTTTGCCAACATATTCTGTTGCAAATGCCTCTTTTAAACAATCTCTAGATTGACTACCTATCACAAGTACGAGAATGAAATTTATTTTATTTTTAAAATGTATTTATATATCTAACTTAAGTACCCTACCCATGTCACAAACAAGCAACTCTGGGTAGTATACCACAAAATTGAAACAATAACCATCTAAAACCATTATCATTAATAATTATTTTTAAAAAATGTGAAAACTGTAAATACAGAAGTAAAACAAGGCATAATAGATGAAAGAAGGTCAATAATAATGGCGTCACCTCATTAGCTTGCCTGTCTGAATTTAATTATTTATTCTGAAATTGGGAAAGACGCTCAGGTGCATCCAAGACGCCAGGCTCATGATCGTGCATGCCTTATTCATCTTCTGAATGGATTAGTGCTTTATGGAGGCGCCCTTGAAGAACATCTGGAAGCTCCAACAAAATATAACTTGGCATGCAGGAAGTTATGGGAAGCACATCTGAATGTACTTGTGTTATACCACTGCTCTGCGAGTTGGGCCACCTCCTAATATTCTTCTGGGTGCAATTCAAAATGCTGGTTGTCACAGATACAACACTTCTTCTCACGGTGCTGGCATATCTGCAACATCACCTACCGCCTGGCTGATTCCAACTCATCCCATTAGGTCTGACAAGGAGATGCATGCTGCAGGTCCCATTAATTAAAGGATGTTGCCTTACTGAACCCCCCAAAATGGGGCTTTTCTGCTCTAGCATCTGTCCTTTGGAGCAGTGGTCGCCAACCAGTGGGCTGGGGACCACTGGTGGTCCACGAGAAAATTTTGGTGGTCCACAGAGAAATGTTACCCCCCCCCCCCCAAAGCAATTAATCCAGGCTGCGCAGGGACACAAGGCTGCACTGCCCACATGGCCTGTGGGAATACAAGGCTTGCATCACTTGCATTGCAAACAACACGAGGTAGTGAGGGGAGGGGGGAAAGGTCAGAGGGGGGAACTTGCCCACTCGCCCCACGTGCCTTGCCTGGCCACCGGGCTGCTTCTTTCCACTTCTGTCGTTTTCCGCTTTTGGTTGCACGCAAGAAAAGCAGCAAAAGTCTTTCTTTCTCTCCCCAAACTCCACCAGAAATGAGTCTTTGAGACCCTGCAAGACATCCTGCTCCAAGACGCTGAGCCTGTGCAACAAGTCTCACAAAGACTCGTTTCTGGCGGAATTTGGGGGAGAGAAAGAAAGACTTCTGCTGCTTCCCTTGCATGAAGCCAAACATCTCACTCTCTCCCCCCACACCCCGGTATCCTGCGATCTCAAATTAAAAAAAAAAGATTGGTAGGAAAATGGGGTTGGGAATTTTCCTGCAGACTTTTTGGGGGATTTTCCCAGGGTTTCTGGTCCGTGGGATTTAAAATTATGAGTTTGGTGGTCCCTGAGGTCCAAAAGGTTGGTGACCAGGGGTGGGATGCTACCGGTTCTGCCTGGTTCTAAAGAACCGGTAGCTCTGAAGAGCAGCAGACACCGAACTGGTTCTGTGTTTGCTGCTGTTTGGCCCACCTGCCTGCCCAGGCTCTTACCTGTCCTTTATTTCCTGCTTTTTCAACCTCAGTTGCTTTGCGCGGCACAGCTGAGGTTGAAAAAGAAGGGAAAAAGAGGCTTTTCAAACGCTGCGCACCTGCGCGCAGCACTTTTCAGCTGTCCGGGCGGCACAGCTTAAGGTATTTTTACACACACGCAAAACGTAGTCACTAAACCGGTAGTAACACCGGTTGAATCCCACCCCTGTTGGCGACCCCTGCTTTGAAGCACCTTTCGTCCTGAGATTAGATTGGCCCTGAACAAACTGATATTTACAAAATCAATCCCAACTCCTGAAAGACTCAGGCAGGTGGGTAAGCAGGTAGTTGGGATCTGTTTTCTAGATTGGGTTTTTACTTTGGTGGTCAGTATAAATTTTGTACATTGGGTGATTTTTGTTACTACTTTGAGTGTCTTATGTATCTTATTGTCGTCCAGAGTCATTATATCAAGATGGGCATTGTTAGATTGACTAAATAAATGAACCTTCACTGTTTCACTCTTTCAAGTTATGATACACTTGTGTACTAGTCTTTGCAGGTTTCTCCTGGAAAGATGCAATATGCAAAAAATAATTACCCCACCCTCTTCAAATAAACATTTGAGTGATTGCAGCATGCCTGTAATGAGATACCATCTTCTTCGAAATCATGCATAGAAGTGAAGATTTCAATCAGAGAGGCACTCAAGAAAGATACTTGATTGCATTAATGATTAATGATATTAAAATATATGAGCTGAAATATTTTAGGAGCAGCCCTGCCTAGCCAAGAATATATACAGTATGATTTCAAGTTATCCCAAAATTCCACACAAGATATCTCTTGTAGAATGATACCGTATCTGTTTTAACATCTTATTTTCTTGCGACTGATTTCTATAAAGTTATTGGTGGCAATATCAAGTTAATTTGTGTTTTGACACACTGCAATTAGAATAGCATGCAACTGGCCATGAATGGTTCATGCCATACAATTTTACACAGCAGCAAAGTATAAGTTTACATTCCCAAATCCATCTCCACCTCAGAAATATCCAGGATGGAATGCCAAAGAATTAACAAACTTTTTAAAAAAATTTCTATAGCTAGCATATGTAGTGCAAAAATTAAACATGAAATCCTCGCCAATAATGTACCTGAGCATCTTAAAAGTGCCCCACAGAGTTTGAAACACCTTATATTCAGATTTTAGACATCTTAAGAGACTTACTGTCTAATATTGCTCCCCTCACAATAAGCAATGCTGAGTTTATACTATGAGGCAGTGGCGGGATTCAACTTTTTTTTACCACCGGTTCTGTGGGCGTGGCTTGGTGGCCGCCCTTTGCGTGCATGCAGAGGGTTTGATACTGACCTTCTCCTGCAATCCTGCACTCTCCCTGTGTGTTCAACAGCTGATGCGCGGCAATCCACTGTGCCACGCGAAGCAGCTGAGCTTCAAAACCAGGAAATAAAGATCAGTATAGAGCCTGGGCAGGCAGGAGGGCCCAGCAGCTGATTGTCAGAGTAAAGCAGTTCGCTCACAGATGATCCTCAGAGCTACTGTTTCAGCCAAACCAGGCCGAACCGGCAGAATACTACCACCACTGCTATGAGGAAGCCCAGTCTATCCCAAATGTTTTGGGACGTACTCACAACAGACACAGATATCCAAAACATTGGATTGTCTATTCAGAGTTTAAAAGGAATCTTGGAGAGTATACATATGGGTTTATACCTATGGGTTTGTCTATATCTATTAATATATTTGAATGTGGTTAACGGTTTCAAAAGTACTTCAGTTATTTAAATACTAAAGGCCAATTTGGAGTTGTAAGGGTTGAAATGCATATTGAAAACAAGTAAAATTATCTGCTGTTCTCCAATAGCTGGCTAGGAAAATGCTAGCAATTGAGACCCGTTCTCTTTCCTCCTGTACTGAGCCAGTAGCATTGCCAAGGGAGGAGAGATGGAATCCATGCGTACCCCATATCCATACAACAAAGAAAGCATGTGTCTGGTTATTCTTTTGGAATAAATCATTAAAATACTATTACAGCATTAGCAAGTGTGTGTCTGTGTAATCAAGAGTACAGATTAGGGCTGCACATAATCTTGCAGTATTCATTCCCACAAACCAAGTCAGATGAATACATTTTAGCTTTCTTCCTTGTAGTCATCAGTCTAATTTAAAAATATTTTTATTAAGTTTCTGAGGTGCACACTTCTGATAAGAGACGGATATTAGTCATCAAGAAGCAGTGGACTACAACTTCCATCAAGCCCACCCAGATCATATCTAATTACGGAAGACTAATCTAAAATATGTCCTGTATATAAGTGCATATAAGGTAAATAAAGGAGAATTTTTGCAGCTTGGGGTTGAAATGTCCTTGGTGCTCTCTGAGTTTACTTGTTTTCTTGCAGATGTTTTATTGCCCAAACTAGATCATAAATCAGTGCTAGTCACTGTCACTATCTTCTAAAGTGTTGGCAATTCCCCCCAGTTTAGTATCATCTGCAAATTTCATGACTTCCCCTCTACCCCCTCATCTAAATCATTTATGAAGATTTTGAAGAGCCCTGGGCCCAAGAAAGAACTTTCAGATATCCCACTGCATGCTTCTCCCCATGTAGATTTGGTTCCATTGTTGACTACATAGTAGGTGTGGTCATATAAGAAATAACAAATACAATTACAGCCCCCAATTTGCCAGTAAGGCACTGCTAGCACTAATTATAGTTGTGTTATGTGATAAAACTTGCTTGCAGCTTGTAAACTACAAGAAGTGACAGAATGTAATTTATACCAGACAAATGGATGATCAGACTATTTCAAATCATCTAGACCCTTGTTCCCTTGGCAAAATGCCTCCCAGAAGCAGATGCTATTTTATGGCAATCCTTATGCATACTCATAGAAAAGCCGTTAAAATTCACACGATTGTATTATTTAGTATTTCTTTTCTATATTCCCATGGTAGAAAAAAGATAAGGTGGGAAGGGAAAATAGGGGGTTAGAGAAGACAAAATTTCTTGCATTCAAATCCCACTTTTTAAATAAAATATCTTACAAAGCAACACACAAAAATAAGAGGGTAGATACAAATATGTATTCATTGCTATCAGGAATAGACATTTCTCTTTTAAAACTCAAATTACGCTTTACCTTGTAGACAGATTCGTCCTTACCTTGCTTTTAGAATTTCACTGACTTTTTGTTCCAGTTCTATCCTCCTCAAGCGTTCTTTTTCTAACTCTTGTTTAAGCGTTTCAGCATTGGTTTCTTCTCTCAGCTTTCTTAGCTCCTCCTCTGTTAAAAAGGGGAGAAAAATAATCCAGGTATTATGTTTTCTCACCATAGACTTACTTGTGAAGGTTTTGTGCCAGTCTAAACAATCAAAACACCAGGCAGCTTACAATTCTCCCGTAGAATAGTTAAAGCTTCTTTTTTTAAAAAAAGAAAAATAAATCACAATATATCTTAACAAAATCAATCACACAGCAGGAATCCTCACTGCTACACCTGTGGATCTACAACATTCTGGCGTAAATTCCTTTGGGACTATCGAAGATAGTAGAAAATCCTTTGTAAGAGCCAAGCCACTGCTCTTCCACCTTATAGGGATAGAATCAACTTTCACATGAATCACTGAATTAAAAATGAATCACAACAACATACTCTCACACACTGCATTCAGGAAAAAGGATGAAACTCTGGATTTCACAACTCTATTATTAGGCATCTATAGCATTTCAGGAGAACAACATTATTGTTTGTCACACAGACAACATGGCTGCATAATCCATATCACCTACCCATGTTCTGCATCAATTCCAGTACACCAGACTGCCTCCTTGGATTACAACGTGAGTAAAACTACACCTAGGTTGTCATTTTAACAACAGAAGCAATTCGTGAGTGATTCTTGGTCATCTTAAGGAAACCCACAACTCAGGGTTAAATTACTTGCTTTCCTTCCAGAAGGATTAATCTCTGCCCTCTTGAGGAAATGAACGAATCAATAAATGAATATTTAAATAAATATTTAAATGAATATTTAAATAAATAAATGAACAGGAAGTAGAAGGAGATCTATGTAATATTCTGGATTATTGTTGCCAATCACAATAGTCAATATTGGGTGAGAGGTGTTAACAAGTTGTCATTCATATGGAGACTAAAGTAACTGCTGAAACTATGCATCAGGTCAGAAACAGTAGTACTTTAAAACTATAGAGCCAATTATTAATGGTGGCTTCCTATTTTACAACAGAGGGTAAAAATAGGGTGATCTGAATGAAACAAGTAACTTGGAGTTCCATTAATAGGAATAATAGCTCTTACACTCCTAAAGCTTGGCTTACACTGAAGACACTACACATAACGTCAACAAACTGAATCACTGTATTCAGCTTTTAAAGGCTAGCTGGCTGGATTACAGTTACCTTTGATTACTGTCAAAGTAGCCATTGTTTTTGTGCCAAATGGCATCATCTATAGGTGTTTTTTCTTAACCTGAGTTAACAACGTTAAAACCTGGGAAAACGTCACATTACCATCATGTAATATTTAATCATTTACCAAATTTGTAAGGCCTATTGCAATATGAACATTGTCCCACAGGATTGATGCTACAGCAGAAGAGGCTCAAATAAAAATTGTTTTATCAAATAAAAATTGTTTCATCAAATAAAAATTGTTTTAAGGAATGGGATTCGGAGTGTGCCAATTCTGTTGGATCACACTGATGGATGGGTGGATACTATGGGAGACATACAGTCCCCCCAAGAAAGGTAGTCCTTGACTTACAACCACAACAGAGCCCAACATTTATGTTGCTAATTGAGAAATGTGTTAAGTGAGTTTGCCCCGTTTGACGACTTTTCTTGCCACATTTGTTAAGCGAATCAGTGCAGTTGTTAACTTAGTAACCCGGTTGTTAAGTGAATCTGGCTTATCAGGTCGCAAAAGGGGAATCACATGACTGCAACAGTCATAAATATGAACCAAGTGTCAAGCACCTGAATGTAAATCACATGACCATGGAGATGCTGCAACGGTCGTTAAGTGTGAAAAGGGGTTATACACAGTGGTGGTATTCGACCGGTTTGGCCCGGTTCTGGCGAGCCGGTAGGAGCAATGAGCAGCGGAGACCGAACCAATTATCTCTGACACTCTGCTATTGGGCCCGCCCACCCACCTGGGCTCCCATACTCACTTTTATCCACTGAATTTGAAGCGCAGCTGCTTTGCGCAGCACAGAAGAGTGCCGCGCAGCAGCTGCTGAAGTGACCGGCATCGTGCAGGCTTGCAGGAGGCGAGTTAGAACCCCTGTGTGCCTGCGCAAACACCTCTGCGCCTATGCAAAGTGTACGTTTGGCATGCACATGCACGCAAAGTGCGTGCACACACGCAAAGCACACTTATCAAGCCACGCCCACCAAACCGGTAGCAACAATATTTGAATCCTACCACTGGTTATATGCAACTTTTTTCAGTGCCGTTGTAACTTTGGATGGTCATTAAGTGAACTGTTGTAAGTCGAGGACTATCTATAGTTGGGCCTTTGTGTAATATTAATATTAATAGTACAAGAAAAGCTTCCAGGCAGAATTGTTTATCTCAGTGTTACAGATTAGGAATATGATATATTTCACGTGCAATTGGTATCTTCTGATTGCATAAGAAAGGTTCAACACGTTTTAAGCAATAGCTGATATTAGATCAAGAAAACCTGACCCAGAGCTAACAATAAAGGGGACATCTATAGCACATATTCCAGAATTATTGGGTATACACTAACAAGAGGAACAGATAAATAAAATCTATTTAAAAAGCATGATTGCAGTTACATAAGCAATTGTGACATCATTTACTCCCTTCTATTAAAAAAAAATGTTGCTTGCCCCGAGTTTCAAATGACAGTGTGGCATCAGAATAAAGATCTTAGAACTAGGATATGCCTAGGATGATTCAGAAAGAGCCTGAACTAGTTTCTGCCATTTACCACCTGCATTTTATAAGCTTAGTAGCTGAGCAAACAATTCTTAAAAGGTCATTAAAATAACATGAAGGCAAAAGGACAAGGATACTTCTCATTAAGCACAGCTTGTGTAATTCACTGACCTATGATTTTCTACATCTCTGATGTGGTAAAAGCACAATTTGTAAACAGGTTGGCAATCTAAGATAATTCAGAAACATACCATGGAGCACAGAGGGATTCTCTCTGTAAAAGCAGTTCATTATTGTGGCGTGAATTGTCCTTTTAGCAAGAAGTCTTAATCGGGCGCTGTTCAGATATTCCTTTGTTCTATAGGAGACCCAGGCAAAGACATTTGGCAATGAAAAAGAATTGGCGTGCAATGCATTTCAGATAGGGGATATCATCACGGATGAGTACTCTGGAGCAGTTTTATTCTTTCCATCTACGAGGAGTGCTAGAAATGAATTAAGTAAACAGTCTCAGGACTCTGTCCATCCATCCCCCAGCAGAATGACTGCCCAAAAACACAGTGGAACCAAATCTCATGCAGCAAGAAAGGCCAACAAAAGGAAATTTAAGTTTCAAAATGGGTTGGTTCCAGCTGGGAACTGTAAAGGAAAAAAAAGAAACTCTGGGGTGTGGGGGAAATCCTCATTACAGATGGACAGCAGCTCAAAATAAGGCTGGACTCGTCCATCTAATGTCCCTCCTGCTTTCCTCATTGTCACATGATGCAGAATGGAGCAAGTGCAGGATTTCCTGGGCTTCCCACATAATTAATTCCTTCCTTCCTTCCTTCCCTCCTTCCCTTTTCTACTTCTATTATTTACATAACATGTATCCACCCATTCTACCTTGTCCCTGACTGATACACACCTACACAGAGGCAATAATTAGTAAACATACCAGTCCTTGAGGAAAAAAATGTGCACACACACGCTATGTATTGCTTTACTAACACAGATGCATCTATGGTGGTGGCAGATAAAGAGGTGAGAAATAATTCCAGAAGCCATGTCTGGCATGCTTGCCCTGCCTTGTTATTCTTTCCAACCCAATGGAATTTTGCAAAGAAATTATGTAAGGGAGGCCAGGACTCTGTCAGCAAATAAGCTCTGAAATCTAACAGAGCAGGATCAGAAATATGCCAGATTTGACTAGGAGCTACAGATGAAAAAACCTCTCTGTGACTTGAAATGCGGGCAATTGTTCTGTTCCTAAAGCCCTCTGTTCTTTCTCTGGTGCCCGGAGAAGAAAAGGACTCCTCACATCATATGGTGCACATTTTTCCAATCTCATTTACCAGCTATATCTACATAGAACTGGGTCTTGTGAAACTGCATTATTTGACTCATGGTTCAATGCGAAGTTGCAAGCTGGAATAAATTTCCAACGCTAGGCCTCAAAGTTCTCAGTTCAGGATATAAAAAGACAGAATCGTGTACAAGTAGCCCTCAACCACAATTCAAACCAGAATCTCGGTTGCTGAGTGAAGCTTGTCAAGATGTCACGTGATTGCCCATGTGACCGCTTTGCTCAACAACCACAATCCCAGAACTTCAGTTGCAGCCATTAAGCAAACTTGTGGATTATTAAGCAGGCAAAGTCTTGGGTAAAGAGCGTGGGGTGTCAGGAGCAGGGGTGGCATTCAGCCGGTTTGGACCGGTTCAAGCGAACCGGATATTAAATTTACACCTAGTTCACCGAACTGGTACATGAACCGACCGACTGGCCCCACCCGCCCCTCCCAGGAATGTCCACGTGGCCTATTTTGAATGCTGGTAAGTGCAGAGTCCACATGGGGGCTCTCAGAGGGCAAAAAAATGGGCCTTCCAGAAGTCCAAAAACAGCTTCCGGGGGGCCTCTGGACCCAGGGGGGAGGCCGTTTTCACCTTCCCAGAGGCTTGAGGGAAGCCTCCGGACCCTGGGGAAGACGAAAACGACCTTCCTGGAAGTTCCGGTAGGCCACGCCCACCATGGCCACGCCCACCCAGCAACCAGGCAGCGAACCGGTTGCTGGGATTTTTGAATCCCACCCCTGGTAGGGAGAGGTCAGAAGCTGAAAATCCTTCCTGGCAAAATCCAAATGGATTTTCACCTTGGCCTCCTCCCCACCTGTCTGAATCATCCCATGCTGCTTGCTTTACTGTGCCGCCTCTCTGCTCTCTGCATGGATTTTTGCTTCTTCTCCATTCTGGGGGCTGGATGACAGTGCTGCCTGCCAAATGATTTCCGCTCCCCTCAGTGCACCGAAGGGAATTCTTTCACAGGGTACAGGAATGGAACTAAAATCCCCTGCTCCATTTCTGCACCCGGGTAAAGG